ATAGAATGAGGGAGGACTTGGCTAAAGTAGACTTGAAACAAAAATTTTATGGTGGGACAGTTGACGAGCAGTGGAGGACTTTCAAAGCAATTTTTCCAAGTGCTCAGCAAAAATATATTCCGGTGAAAAGGAAGGACTGTAAGAAAAGGGGTAATCTGCCATGGGTGTCTAAAGAAATAAGGGAGGCTATCAAATTGAAAGAGAAGGCATACAAAGTGGCCAAAAGCAGCATGAAACTAGAAGAGTGGGGAAACTTCAAAGGTCAACAGAAAGCCACAAAAAGAGCTATAAAGAAAAATAAGATAGAACATGAGAAAAAACTAGCACAGAATATAAAGACAGATAGCAAAAGTTTCTATAAATATATAAAACGAAAAAGAGTGGCTAAAGTAAACATTGGCCCTTTACAGGATGAGAAGGGGAATTTAGTTATAGGATATGATGAAATGGCTGAGGCATTGAACAGGTATTTTGTATCGGTCTTCACAGTGGAGGACACTAATAACATGCCAGTAATTGACAAAGAGACAAAGGTAGGTGAGGACCTGGAAACAATCATTATTACGGAAGAGGTAGTGTTGGGCAAGCTAATGAAGCTAAGGGTTGATAAGTCTCCTGGCCCTGATGGAATGCGTCCCAGGGTACTAAAAGAGATGGCGGGAGAAATAGCAGGTGCACTGGCGGTAATTTTCCAAAATTCGCTGGACTCTGGGGCAGTCCCAGCAGATTGGAAAACAGCAAATGTGACTGTTTAAAAAGGGAAGTAGACAAAAGATGGGGAATTATAGACCGGTTAGCTTAACCTCTGTAGTGGGGAAGATGCTTGAGTCTATTATCAAGGAAGAAATAGCAAGGCATCTTGATAGAAATTGTCCTGTTGGGCAGACGCAGCATGGGTTCATGAAGGGCAGGTCGTGCTTGACAAATCTTTTGGAATTCTATGAAGACATTACGAGCAAGGTGGACAATGGGAACCCAGTGGATGTGGTGTACCTAGATTTCCAAAAGGCTTTCGATTAGGTGCCGCACAAGAGGCTACTGCATAAGATAAGAATGCATGGCATGAAGGGTAAAGTATTAGCATGGATAGAGGATTGGTTGACGAACAGGAAGCAAAGAGTGGGGATAAATGAGTGCTATTCTAGCTGGCAGTGACTAGTGGTGTGCCTCAGGGATCGGTGTTGGGACCGCTATTATTTACAATTTATATAGATGATTTGGAGTTGAGGACCACGTGTAGGGTGTCAAAGTTTGCAGATGATACTAAGATGAGTGGCAGACCAAAGTGTGCAGAGGACTGTGAAACTTTGCAGAGGAACGTAGATACATTGAGTGAGTGGGCAAAGGTCTGGCAGATGGAATACAATGTAAATAAATGTGAAGTCATACATTTTGGTAGGAGTAATAGTAAAAAGGATTATTACTTGAATGGTAAAAAGTTGCAGCATGCTGCTGTGCAGAGGGACCTGGGTGTCCTTGTGCATGAATCACAGAAGTTAGGTCTGCAGGTACAACAAGTAATTAGGAAGGCAAATGGAATTTTGTCCTTCATTGCTAAAAGGATTGAGATTAAAAGCAGAGAGGTTATGTTGCAGCTGTACAAGGTGCTGGTGAGGCCACACCTGGAGTACAGTGTGCAGTTTTGGTCTCCTTACTTGAGAAAGGATGTACTGGCACTGGAGGGGGTGAAAAGGAGGTTCACTAGGTTGATTCCGGAGTTGAGGGGATTGGTTTATGAGAAGAGACTGAGTAGATTGGGATTATATTCATTGGAATTCAGAACATTGAGGGGGGATCTTATAGAAACATATAAAATTATGAAGGGAATAGGTAAGATAGAAGTAGAGAGGATGTTTCCACTGGCAGGTGAAGCTAGGACAAGAGGGCATAGCCTGAAGATTAGAGGGAGCAGATTTAGGACTGAATTGAGAACGAACTTCTTCACCCAGAGGGTTGTTAATCTATGGAATTCCTTGCCCAGTGAAGTAGTTGACGCTACTTCAGTAAACGTTTTTAAAGATAAGGCAGATATTTTTTTGAACAATAAAGGAATTAAGGGATACGGTGAGAACTTGGGTAAGTGGATCTGAGTCCACGAAAAGATCAGTCATGATCTTATTGAATGACGGAGCAGGCTCGAAGGGCCGGACGGCCTACTCCTGCTCCTAGTTCTTATGTTCTAGATTCCCTCCTTCTAGCCTCAAACTCTGGCAGCAATAGCACTGACAAGGACAATTGCTTCAATCCTGTTACAACCATGGGAACCATGTAGCATAGAATTTTTAATCAAATACTGCAGCTTGGGTTCTCTATGGAATAGAGTTGCTTTTAGATTTGTTTTGAACATAAATGCCTCAACTTAATTGAAAACTTTCAACCTATTTTCTTCTTGGAACAATTACATTCTGAATGCTCTGGTAGGATATAGAACAAAAAAAAAATAAATTAGTTTACCTACCATGTAGAGTCTTCTTTATTCTTTGAGATTGGAAAGCAATTTCTGATATGCATAGATGCACTGTTAGTTCAACCTACATCTGTTGAATCATACAGCACAGAAAGAAGCCACTTGGTCTATTCTGCCTGGGCTGATTCTTTGAAAGATTTTTCCAATTGGTCGCTTCTCTACTCTTTCCTACTTTACCACAAACCTTTCTTCTTGCTGATTATGAAGCTTGTGCACAAATTGGTTGCTAATGTTTCACACATTACAAAAGTGTCTACACTTCAATAGTACTTCAGTGGTTGGAAAACATAAATCCAATTCGCTTTCAAAAGTTACTGTTAATATAGTACTAAAACTGAAAAAGTTCTCCACATGTATATACCCATTTGAATGTATTCCTTTCAGAAAGATTAATGAAATGCATAGGTTATGTCAATACTGTCATTATTACATGTGTTTATTGAAGTTAATAACTATTATTTTTAGGTTCTGTGACAAATTCTTTTATAAAGGTTAAAATGTACATACATAGCGTATGCACACATTTCATAGTTTTTAATGGTAGATGTCAAAAGTCAGAACCATGCCTGACCTCTTTGCTCTTTGGTCCAGCCAAGTCACTGAAAATATTTCAAATTATTCTTTTAAAAGAAAATTCAAATTGTATTATTTGGCTAAATGTACTATTAGTCCAGCTGAAAATTAACTAACTCAACATAGAATCAGAGATAGTAGGAACTGCAGATGCTGGAGAATCCGAGACAACAAGGTGCAGGGCTGGATGAACACAGCAGGCCAAGCAGCATCATAGGAGCAGAGAGGCTGACGTTTCGGGCCTAGACCCTTCATCAGAAAAGGGGGAGGGGAAGGGGGTTTTGAAATAAATAGGGAGAGAGTGGGAGGTGGATAGAAGAGGGATAGAGGAGAGGATAGGTGGAGAGGAAACAAACAGGTCGAAGAGGCGGGGATGGGGCCAGGAAAGGTGAGTGTAGGTAGGGAGTTAGGAAGGGGATAGGTCAGTCCAGGGAGGACGGACAGGTCAAGGGGGCGGGATGAGGTTGGTCGGTAGGAGATGGAGGTGCGGCTTGGGGTGGGAGGAGGGGATAGGTGGGAGGAAGAACAGGTTAGGGAGGCAGGGACGAGTTGGACTGGTTTTGGGATGCGGTGGGGGGAGGGGAGATTTTGAAACTTGTGAAATCCACATTGATACCATTGGGCTGCAGGGTTCCCAAGCGGAATATGAGTTGCTGTTCCTGCAACCTTCGGGTGGCATCGTTGTGGCACTGCAGGAGGCCCAGGATGGACATGTCGTCTGAGGAATGGGAGGGGGAGTTGAAATGGTTCGCGACTGGGAGGTGCAGTTGTTTGTTGCGAACCGAGCGTA